GGAAGGATATGCATGAAGGTCACAATGTAAACAGTACTTCTTCTGGCAGCTGGATTAGTGTGAATTTTTATTTTTTCATTTTGCTTATCTGTGTTTTCTAACTTTTCAAAGACATGAGCAGACATTCCTTGATTAATTTATAAAAACAGCCTTAAAAAAATAGTTCCTCAGCATGTTTTCAAGAGTATGAAGTTGAGAAGCAAATATGGTACCTTTCAAGTTAAAAGAGACTTAAAAATATATTTTCCATCCCAGATACCATCCTAGACATTGCACCCCAGCCAACCATCAGTTAACACTGGGAGGTTTTACTCTTGTCTCCCCATACAAAAGGCATTTTCAGAACTGTACAGGTGAGGGGCACGGGCTCAGGGCCAGGTAAGCAAGTAGACATGGTCTCCCTGACCGAAAAATGGGTCCATCTGCTGCTTAGTTTGAGAAACTAAATGAGGTAACACACGTGAAAAACCCCACATGGGGCAAGCACATCACATGTCTTCAAGTAGATATGAGCATCTACTGTGTGAATCTCTTTTACTTAACAGCTAATCACTGACTTGAGGCTGGGAATACAATTAGTAAGGCATGGACCCAACCCTAAAGGAGCTTCCAGTTTATGCCAGAAGGCAAATAACAATAATTGCAGCTGACATTTTTATACACTTATGTGCCAGATATGCTGCTAAGTGTTTTTACTATGTATTGATGCTTTTTGTCCTGTACTTATCTCTGAGATAGACTATCTCAGTAGTTATTTTATCTTCTGTCCTTCTTGTCATAGAAATCTGTTCATGATTTGGTCAGAGCCCGCACTGTGGTATGGTAATGGGTCTTTTTATATATGTACAATGGATAAGAGCTTGGGTACCGGAATCAGACTTCCTCCCAGTTTTGCCAATCAGCAGTGCATTTCATCTTTTAATACCTTAATTTCCTCATCTATAAAATTGAATAATCTTACTTATTCTTATTACCTCATAGGCTATTGTGAGGATAAAAAAGTCGATATATGTATAAGGCTTTTAGAACAGTCTGGCAATATAAGCTATTAGTAAATGTTAGCTGATATTATTGTTGTACTTTCCTCCTCTCTAGGGTGCTCCTTCAAGGTTGGGCCATGGTCTCATTAATTGTATTCATAACCCCAACCCAGAACCTAAATCAGGGTTGATACAAGTAATTGACAAGTAAAAGAACAAACTTATAATTCATATGTTGCAGGCAGGAAGAGGGTGGAGGGAATTTCCTTTCATGAGTAGAGATCAGACTACTGCAATGATGATAATAGGAAGCATATGGCACCTCCTAAAGCAGACAGAATTCCAGAAATAGTAAACATCAAACCACAGTTCAACTCTCCCATTATGTAGATGAGGAGCCTAAGGCTTGGGGAATTCATGTAACTTGCTTATGTATTGTACAGCTTATTAGCATGGGAAGAGATGTGTTATGAGAGTAGCCTTTATCTCAACCTCAAACTCATCCCACAGGGAATTGGACAGGATGTTTAAATACAGGTCAAGTTTCACGAAGTGTTATTAAATGCCAAGTCCTTATGCTAGGCAGTGGGCTCTGGGAGTGTCTAGTTTTAAAACTTGAGTTTTAGGGAACAAGCCTTGGACCCAGGAATTCCAACAGACTAGGCTTGGCCACCCATCCCAATGTACCAATTAAAGACATAAGTAGGCTGGGTGCAGTGACTCACGCCTGTAATTCCAGCTACTTGGGAGGTGAAGATTGGGAGGCTAGTCCAGGCAAAAAGTTAGTGAGGCACTATCTTAGCCAATAAGCTGGGCATGGTGGCATACACTTGTCATCCCAGTGGTGTAAATAGGTTTATTATAGTCCAGGCTAGCCTGGGCAAAAACATGAGAAAGCAAAAGGGGCCAAAGCACCTACCTAGCAAGTGTAAGGCCTTGAGTTTATGAGAGAGAGAGAGAGAGAGAGAGAGAGAGAGAGAATTGAATGGTGGGGAAAGGAGATTTAATCAATGTGACCAAGCTGGGAAGAACAGTTAAGAGTTCAGTTACCCCAAGTCTGCCTTCAAGGGGCTCACAGGAACTTTGGGATTTTATAGAAAGGAGAAACAGAGGAGGGGTGGGGTATGCACTCCTGACTGGTCTTCTGGTTCTGCAAGGTCTCCAGAGAAGCTGTTGTATTTGACATTGTATTCTGATTACTACTTCTCTGGGTCCAGCCTCACTGTTATGCGTAGTTGTCCACATTTGCAGGGGGGGGGGGCGCGGATAATCTGTCCAGTGTTAGTTGGGGCAGTTTGTTTATCAATCAGTCCTGTTGCTCCTGGAATCCAAGGTAACTGCGGAGAGTAACTCAGGAGGAAAAAGTTGGAGACAAAAATAGAGCCAGGGAGGATAAAATGGAGTCAGGCCAGTGACCGGTGCCCTCCTTCAGATTGGGACAAGACAGACATTAAGCAAACACAAATGTAGTAAGAGGAAGTTTAGGGTATATTGAGAGCTAGTTTTATTCCATATGTAGATACTGCAAGGCTGGAAAACTAACTGAGAATTGTGGGAAAACAGGAGTTCTTTAGTATGTGGCTTGAGCAAACATGGTGAGATCATACTCGAGTTATAACTCTGGAGCTCCCCATGCAGAGTGGAAACCCTGTGATAAGAAGCAGGAGTTGACTTCTGTTGGGGTGTCACAGGGCAGATAGCAATGAAAGCTTGGAAAAAATGTCTCCACTTCCCCAAAAAAGGCGGTGCCTCTCCCCACCAACCTGACTCAGAGAACCCCTACCCCTCCACAGCCCTACCCAGGGATCTCCAGGCAGTGGGAGATTATGGAGATGTTGCTAAAAAATGCACTTTTACTCTGTCTAAGGCACAACCATAAATTCATAAAATAGATCCATCGATATGACTGGAAATGCATAGTTCAAAGATGGAAAAATCAGAGCTCAGCTCTCCCCAGTGCCATTAACGCCCACCTGGGAGTAGTTTAGCATTAAGCACCCATTATGTGTTAGGGACACTGGGGAGACACTGGGGATGTCTAGAAGAAGGGCCGTGTGTAAGTAGCAACCAGCATTGATGAGGCAATACGGTAGAGCAGGATGTACACAGGACAGGAGCTGGGAGCTCCAGGCTCTGCAGCCACCCAGCTCTGGGTGACTTTGAGCAAGCTACTTAATTGCTGTGGTGCAATCTGTTTATCTGTAATATGGGGCTCAAATGAAAGTCCCTCCAGGCTCTGAAATTCAGTTCAGAATATTCTGTGTCTTATGAAAAAACTTTCAGGAGTTACATTAACTATGTGGAAAGGTGTCGCCAGGCAAAATCTCAACAGGCAGATTTGCCAGCCTTCAGAGAACAATTTCCTGCACAGTGATCACAGGCCTGTTCCTAAAGAGCTAGTAACAACAGAAGAGCTCCAGTGTGTCCCAGGCCCAGGTTTGGGCATGCACACAGGCATGACATGTCCTTGAGTTCTCACTGGTTAGCGCAAGAACATTTTCATGTTCTACTCCAAGGTCTATTCTTGCTTGTGTTCATATACAAATAATATTTTAATTATTTGTTCTACAGTATTATTTATTACAATAATATTTATTTGTAAATAATATTTACAAATATTTGTAAAAATATTTGTAAATATTTGTAAAAATATTATTACAATAACATTTATTTGTTGATAAATCTAGATTGAAAGTTGATCGAGAACCTTACTTTTGATCATGAACCACATCAAAGAACTTAGGATTTTGCTTAGCGGAGTCCTCACTCTGTATGATGAGATTACAGGAAATGTCTGATTTCTCTTTTGAGCTTTCTGCATTTTCAATTTCTTTTTTAACGAACATGTATTAATTTAATACTAAAGAAAATTAAATACATCTTTTAAACATGAACTATATCACAGGTGTGACCTTCATGTGTAATATTAACGGGAGAAAATCTTCCCCTGAATGAGTTCCCTAATGACACTTTCTAGCGGTGCTCAGTTTATGTAGCCAAGTTCTTCTTACATCATAGTTACATGAGTGTGTGCATTTGAATAAGTAAAAGTGGTGGCGTGGTTTACCCTGTGCTACCATTCTAAATCCACGTGCGCATTTACTTAACACTTCGAGGCGATATTATCCTCATTTTAACGATAAAGGAACTGAGACACCAGAAAGTTAAAGCAACTTTCCTGGTTGGCACATCTTTAATGCCCTGTCTTTTAGCTCCTCCGGGCTCCTCTTCGATCTGATTCTTGCCATGGTGTCTTGTGTCTGAGATTTAGGCAAACCAGTGTGGTAGAATGAGCTGCCACAGCTTCCTACGTAACAGAGGCAAAGAGGCCTCGGACTACAAAGCAGACACTTCCTAAGCAAGCGTTCATTGCAAGCAAGCATAGCTGGCCTAGGAGGTAGTGAAAGGGCCCACAGGGGAAGGCAGGAGAATGTTCTAGATCAGTGGCTCTCATCCTCGAGCAGGCATCAGAACGGCCTGGAGTGCTTTACTAATGCACAGATTGCTGAGCCTTTCCACCGAGCTTCTGATTCATTGTGTATCACTATAACGTCAGCAATCTAGAAGCCGGAATTTGTTACTCTCTCTGATAACTGGCACCTGGCAATGGCTGGACCCAGGACCATTTAGAGAGTTACTGTAGGATCGAAAGGACCATCCTTCAGAGTGGGGACAACAGAACACTCCAGATTCTTAGATACAAAGGTGTGAAACATTTTTTAAGAATACCATTTATTTCCTCAGTGAAGGCCATCGTTCATTATTATGCTATCTCAGTGAAGTCTGCAGGGTTGGTCCAGCCGTGGATACCTGAAGTCATGTTGGAGCTGGAGTGTGGCCGTTCCCATGCAATGCTAGCCGACATCTCTTGTCATGCCTGGTTGGGGCACCTAGGATGTAACTTAAACCAGCACAGACTCATAATATCCCCAATCCAAGTGAATATTTTAGAATAAATTACAGGCCACCTTCATGGGAAGGAACTTGATTAACAAACCCCTGGCTTTGTTTTGATCACAGACTGAGCCTGAAATCATAGAGGAAACCGACGTTGACAGAGTCCGTGAACCCCGGGGCTACGGCAGGTCACGGCAGGTGAAAGGCCACTCAGAGACCTCCACGCTGAGCTCGCAGCCCTCCATCGACGAGGTCCGGCAACAGATGCACATGCTGCTGGAGGAGGCCTTCAGCCTGGCGTCTGCGGGCCATGCCGGCCAGGGCCGGCACCAGGAGGCCTACGGCTCCGCTCAGCACCTGCCCTACTCTGAAGTGGTGACCAGTGCTCCAGGGACCATGACACGGCCCAGAGCTGGGGTGCAGTGGGTACCAACCTACCGCCCAGAGATGTACCAGTATAGTCTGCCCCGGCCGGTAAGTCAGATGTCCTGCCTGCCAGCTGACACCCAGTCAGTCCTGCCCAGTGGGTACCAACATGGGATAAACCACCTTGGGATTTGGGGACAAGCTTTGCTGGGCTACCATAGCATCCTTCACCCATGATCCAAAGCCCAGCCTTTTAATCTTGTCGGCTAGGCAGGCAAGGGGCCCCTGTGTACAACCATAATGCATTTTCAAATGAATTTCCTCTTCTGCTGCACCTGCTAGAAAGGCTGACCTCATTCTTCATTCACTCATGGTTTCCTATACGTTCAGATGTGGGACTCAATTTAAATGTCAGAAGGGATTCAGAGCTACTTGTGAAGGGACCATGCACCCTGGTGGCTAAATAGCTTAGGCTTTGAGCCAGGTCACTTGACTTTGAATCCCAGCTCTACCACTTAACTACCCTTGGAACTTGGGGAAGTGACTTAAATTCTACAGTGATAAAGACAAATATGAAAAACATCCTGCTTTATAGTTAGTGGGAATTCTATGTAAGTACATAGTAAGACTTAGCATTGAACTAGGCGCAGATGGCTCACGTCTGTAACCCTAGCTACTCAAGACGCAGAGATCAGGAGGATTGTGGTTCAAAGCCAGCCCGGGCAAATAGTTCACAAGACCCTAGCTTGAAAAAAACCCATCACAAAAAAGGGATAATGGTGTGGCTTAAGTGGTAAGAGTGCCTACCTAGCGAGTGTGAAGCCCTGAGTTCAAACCCCTTCACTGCCAAAAAAAAAAGTATTGAGTGTTGTTCTGGTCCTGGGTACTGAGTTGAGTGTTATTGTATGTCACACATTCAGTCCTTACAACAAGCCTCTGAAATGGGCACAGTTTTATCCATAGTCTACAGATGAGGAAACTGAGGCTACACAGCCTGTTCAAGGCAAACAGCCTTGAGACCCAGTGCCAGGCACTCTGACACCAGAACGCATGCTCTTAACCAGCATGTTGCACTGTCTCTCCATCCATATTGTTTATGTCACTTTCAGCAGACTATCTGGGGCACCTACTGGCTTGTGTCCCCCCAAACCCACACTACATGGACCCTTACTCGCTAAATTGCCAGGGTGTTCCCTGCACACAAGGGCAAGTCTTCTTATTGCTCCCCTGCTCCACATTCCTCCTGTCAGGCTACTGAGAGTCTCTTCCTCATCACTGCTCTTTGTCCCTCAGTCTCTCTCTATTGGTGGCTTCCTGCTGGGCTCCCTCTCTGTGAGTGTCTTTCTCTCCCCTAACCTTCCTGTCCATGTCACTCTCAGGTGATGAAGCTTATTTCAAGTTGGGCCTCTGGAGCAGAGGTAGCTGTGCTTGGGGTCATATGCAAGGCTTTATCCTTAGGTTGGCAGGTTTGGAACTTCTATTTTGTCCCTTCCTTCCAGGGGGATCAGCCCCCAGGATTTTGACTTAATCTGATTAAACTCACAACAGCTTTATTTTTAAGAACAGTTAACTTCTAACCTGCACTGGGTACCAGGTGACTGGATGGGACAGAACACATGTTTGCTAGGTTGTGTGCTATCTCACTGAATGCCAATTGTGGTAAGATAAGGCAGATCAGATCTCAGCCTGATTGGCAATCCAGAGTACAGGCAAGAAAGGAAAGAAGTAAACATAAGACATCTTTTATATATCCCATTTTCTGAGACATAAATAGAATACAAAGAAAAAGTCTTACTATAAATCTTTTACTGTTATTGTGGTAAAATATATATAGCAAAACTTTTTATTTTAACCATTTTAAGTGTGCAGTTTGGTTGTATTAAATATATTCACCTTATTGTGCAACTGCTCTTAAATTCTTTTCATCTTACAAACTGATACTCTACCCATTAAAAGACATCTCCTCTTTCTTACCTCTCTACAGCCCTGACAACTGGCATTCTGCTTTCTGTCTCTATGAATTTATCTACTCTGAAACTTCATAAAAAAGGAATTATGTAATATTTGTCTTCATGATTGATGTATTTCACTTAGGATGATGTTCTCACATTCCATTCATGTAGCAGAATTTCCTTCCTTTTTAAGGCTGAATAATAATCCACATTTTATCCATTTATCTTCCAATAGGCACTTGAGTTGCTTCTACCTTTTGGCCATTGTGAATAGTGCTGTTATGGACATCAGTGTACAAATATCTCTTCATGGCTATTTGTATTTCTATTTTTAACCTCTTGAGAAACTCGTATTGTTTTCCGCAATGACTACACCACTTTACATTCCCATCAACAGTGCACAAGAGTTCCTGTTTCTTCACATCCTTACCAACACTTGTTATTTTCTATTCTTTTGATAGTAACCATCCTAACAACTGTGAGATGGTATCTTATTGTAGTTTGGGTCTGTACTTCCCAAGTGGTTAGTGATGTTGAGAGTCTTCCCATGTGCCTTTTGGATGACTAGATATTTTCCAATAGATTTGGGGCAATGCCCAGATCTCAGGCATACAAGTTTGTCTCTTCCATCAGGGAACTTTGGCAGATACAGTCAAGAAGCACTGCTTTCTAGAAGAGTGTCAGCCTCTGAGGCCACCACTGACCACATTCCTATCATTCTGAATGTAAGCATTCTTTTTTTTCCAGAAAGAGAAAAATTCTCACTTAGCCTTACAAATCTGTCATCTTAAAATACTTTCCCATGACAGTCATATTACAGTTTCCAAGATTACAGTGTTCTACTAAATTGGTGCGTGCCTCTTTGAGAGAAGAAGGGAATTTCCTCCCCAAGATTTAGAAAACACCCTAATTTCACCATGTTTATATGCACCTGTTAGGTGGCTGTCCTCTGGAAAAGGTCACCCATATCCATTCTGCATTTATTATCCCCAGCTTCAATCTTATTTGGTTCATCCTTCCTCATCTCTATATGACGATCAGGTCTCTGAGCTTAATCTTTTTCCCAGTCCAAAGTGGAAAGTGCTTACTACTTCAGTGGTCTTAGAAACTGTGGGTCTGAGCCTCAGACTCTTCCACCATATTGTGGTGATAATAAGAGGGCTGTATTGAGGATTAAACAACAATTCATGTAAAATGCTTAGCACAGCCCTGGCACCTACTAAGCACCCAACACTTGTTAATCAGAGTGCTTGGTATTGTGTCCAGCACATCAAATTACTTGACAAATAAGTCATTATTGTCAAACTGTTCTTTATGTCAGACCCACTAGCTACCTCCCTTTCCCTCTAACCATATCTCTTCCTCCTACCTTAAACTCTTTAAGACCTCATACTCAATGCCCCAGTTCAGGTTCCAGAGAAACGTTGCTTCTGGTTGAAGACAATTCTTAACAACAGCTGGGCTCCTCTGGCTGGAGGCAGATTCTGAGGATCTGTTAGAAATCTGGGTTTCACACAACAAGGGGATTGGACTTCAATCACAAGATAAAAGCGAGAGCACACAAGGGAGATGTGAGGATAGGTAAGACACCTAAAAAATTAGCTAGCATTTGTTGCCCTTAGTGCAGAGAAACTAAAGCAGATACTTTAAAGCAACTGAGGCCAATAGAAGAAGGGGACCAGGATCTAGAGAAAAGGTTAGATCAAAAAGAATTAACCTAGAAGGTAACACACATGCACAGAAAATTAATGTGAGTCAACTCCCTGTATAGCTATCCTTATCTCAACTAGCAAAAATCCTTGTTCCTTCCTATTATTGCTTATTCTCTATCTTCAACAAAGTTAGAGATAAGGGCAAAATAGTTTCTGCTGGGTTTCGAGGGGGTGGGGGGGAAGAGGGAGGGGACGGGGTGGGTGGTAAGGGAGAGGATGGGGGCAGGGGGCAGAAATGACCCAAGCATTGTATGCACATATGAATAATAAAAAAAAAGAAAAAAAATATGGGTTTCAGAAAGAAAAGCTTAGCTAACTAAGACAAGTCTTTCAAACAGTGACAGGCAGCAAGATGCTGAAGCCCATAACCATTATACCTCAATTTAATAAGACCATCTAAAAAATCGATTGTGGGACATATGAAAATTTAGAAGGTTCTGCTTATAATAATTAAGGGTTGGCAGTTGTGCCAAAAAGGACAAAAGCATCAACATTATGTATTTTTAAATGAGGCCACCATAAATGGAAAAGGACTGAGATATAACACAACAGAGAGATGAACCATCAATGAGGACAATAGTAAAGACCATTCTTTCATGATTAAGGTTTCCTTCTCTGCCAACAACACACAAGACTCCCATCTCCGTGAAGGGAGACAGTAGTTAATAATACATGATAGAAACGATGATTCTTAACCCAAGCTCTCTCAGAGCCCCCTTGTGCTATAATCATGTGAGAATCAATAGAAAAGGTGGCAATTGAGAATGATAACTATGATTACTCTCCGTCTTCCTAAAAGGAAGTGCTTGGAGCTATGCTGTGAGCTAATTGGAGGCTGGTGTCTTAAATGCACAGGGCCAGCCCAGTGCATTTATATCATAGGAAAGGTTATTGTTGGCAGCTTGGAATTTCTACACTGCAGTTCAGGAATCTTTCATCATATTTTACCCCTTGAATCTGTAAAGGAATTAGACTCAACACCTAATGACCAAACCAATTTTGCTAGTGGCCATAATGAGTCTAAGCCAGGAGGAATGAAAACATTCTATAGCCTTCCTGTTGGTGATGGAGTAGAAGATTCTTAAAATGTATCAGGGCTAAAACATCTTCCCACTAGATTCTTTATGGATGGAATGATAATAATAACAGTTGCTGTCTATTGAAATCCTGTTGTTTACTGCACACTGAATGCAGTGCTACACAGACATTATTTCTTCTGATCCATGAACTGTTCTATGAGGTGAGTATTACTACCCCCAAGTACTGAATTGGGAAACTAAGGCTTAGAGAAGTAAAGAAACCTGCTTAAGTTTATACGTCATCTCTTAGTGTACATGAGAGATTGGTTTCAGGAACCCCCCCCACCCCTGCAACCGAGGATACCAAAATCCTTGGATGCCCAAGACCCCGTATAAAATTGCAGTATTTGCATTTATAACCTACA